CACAACATTATCATACGTCACAGGGCGCAATAAATGTTTGAATTTCATGGGAAGCCTCTAAGGGTGGAATTTAAGGAGGAAACGACCTAGATAACAATTTCAAATTTAGAAGGTACTTATTTTTATGTTTCTAATCCTCGGATTGGATTTTCATGGTTGAGGCGAGCTGATTCAAATTAACTACTCTACATATCTCGCGGTAGATCCGGACTTGATCAAAAATCAAGCAACCTCTTGGAAGCCGTGGATTACCCACCCGCTAACATTTACCCATTAGTTGGATGCAGTTAGTGTCGTGCGTACAGAGACAGAAAGGTGAATATATATTTATATCCGTATCCCCATACCTTGTTTCGTTGGTTATTTCAGCCAACCTTTAGTAATGCTCGGATGAATATATTTCCCTAAACCAAAGAACTAAACTCAGTGGGTCTAGGTCATACTCTACACAATATGAACCTGAACTATATTTTTTCTTAGATAAGATCTTTATATTGAACATCTCGTTCAAAGAAGTTTATTGATTGATCAATGACGATAGTACATGGCCAAATCCTTCTATATTATCATTGGCCCTCCAAAGGGGAATAACACGGATGTTTCGCTTCTCTTCAGTTGTCTTAGAATGACTTAGGCCCGAGACTTAACCGAAGGATAGTGAAAGATTCAGTGTCCGAGATCTACATCTACGAGCTCATCCTGGCAGCGCCTGTATTAAAAGAATTATAGTACAGCGATAGGTAATAAGTCATCAGATGGAACGCCACCGAAATACGCGTTTGCAGGCAAAATTGTGGCTAGGTCGTCCGATGACTTATTACTCACCGCTGTACATCCGCTCCACGAGCTGATTAAGAGAATTGAACAGTGGTATGTACTTCTTACGTAGGAGAAATTACATCAAATGATAATCACGATAACATACATGAACCTAAATCTGCCAGATTAGCTATGTTCAGTCCTCTTGGGGATCATTACCCTCAACAGAACAAATAAAGCAGGTTACGGATAATATGAACCTCATCTTCTCAAGGCTCGAGAGTTGAATAATCAGCATGAGACAATCCTATTTAAGGTATGCGCCTTTTATACCACCCCCTAAGAATGAAATTTTCGGATGGAAGTGGCCTGATAATCCTCCTCTAACCGCGGAAACTTAGACATGTCAATTTCAGGAACCAGAACCTCCCCGCATTTCAACGTCGGCCAGATACCATTGTTTGTCTTAAGAATAGGACCCTTGTTAGATGCTCTATTGTGCCACATACAAACTCAATCTCGACTATTCCTTTCCCATATTTCCCACAGGACTATAGATGGGTGTACTGCCCTTGAAAAAGCTTAACCATCCACTGCCGGGAGCGGGGAAGTTTAGTGGGGGTTAAGGGGCGTATCACTGGTGACCCAATGGAATTCTTTCTCAGCTATCCGAATAGGAAGTTGGATGGAAAGTTGGCTTACTAGAGGGATCTAGAGTAACTGTTGGCTGCATCGTCGGAGTAAAATGACTGGGGTTGTCAGCGTGATGTATTGCCAAGCTGGAGATACACCTACCATCCGAGTTACTGAACCACATAAACACTGAGTTTAGTATTACCGGTGGAGATCTTTGCCATAGCCGTTGCAGGTATATGATCAACCAGAGCACAGTACTCGCGTGTATCTGGCCTAGGGGAAAGGGCCAGTAGATGCAATTGCGTATTTTGTTTGGCAGATCAGCACCACTCCATACAAATAATTCCTATTTCGTCACTTGCATTTCCTGGTTCTTTCCCCTACATCCGAATATAGCCTCTAACTGGCACTTATATCATCACTATAGACCATATCGAGAAGGCTGCAACTCTTTGTAGGAATTAAGTGCCGATGATGATTATCATATATAAAGAAGTTTACATCCGATCATCTTTCACAATGACCAATATGGCTTCCTAGTTGAATAAATATCCGGAATCAATTTATCATTCATCTAACAACACTGGAAGGCTGAAATATATGAAGTCTCGTGTCCCTTTGCATTTTTCACATAGCAGGTTATATGTGCGCCATCTATGCATTGTGCAAATTACAACGCAGCCAATGAAGACATTACATACATGTACTTGTGTCAGTCCAGTGACTTAGGCCACTATACAGATGAAACATTTGGGCTAGTACTGAAGCAAACACACATCTCTCAAGGCGAAGCTTTAAGTATAATACTAGAAATTTAAGGTCAACTCTCTTTTGAATACTCTAGATACAATTTCATCCAAGCATTTGCCCTATTGTAAATGGATCATGATCAACTGATCTCCCTCCTGGTTTTGTCAGGGGTAGAAGACTTGAACTCCTCAGACAGACGCACGGCCAAGAAGGGGCAACTAGGGAACTGAATCGGGCACTTGAATAATACTGCACAAAACGCCTTTATCGTAATCGTTTAATATTTTGCACAAGAACGGGATAAGTTTATTCAAATTAACAAGCCGCACACGCACAGGACCCTAACACAACATAAATGTTACACAACAACAAATCCTGCATGTTCTTAGCAGCTTTCCCTTCTGAGACTGGAGCGCACCCATTTTCAATTGCAATCGAGTAAAGAACGCCGAGACTTGGCCGGCATGCCGGGGGGGGGGGGGGGCGCACTTCCGTGCATAAGATAGACATGGTAGCTGGAGCAGATCCTGGTTGTGTTCAACGCCTCCACGCACCCAGCTTCTCATTTGGTTTTTCAGGGCCAGGGTTTTCATTATCCATCCAATGAATTCCCCAATATCTCGGTGAGATTATGAGACAAGGCAATAATAGAAACTTTAGGCCAAGCATCAATTTTGGCCAAATTTGATATTTGTAATTATTTGGTTGGGTGGCGAATAACATTTTTCAACATTAATCGTTGGCCTAAAGTTTCTAATACGATAGGTTTGCAGTTCGGCTTTGCACTTCCCGCCCTCCTGTCGGATTCTCAGAAGAGCGGCCGGTAGACGGCGGCATAATTCTCACGGATGTGTGTCAATCATCTCATATTTCGGTGGCCGAATGGGCATAGCCGCTTCTAGGCGTCGGTGGTCGTACATGCTGAGAATCTTACGCTTGAACACAAAATATTGATATTAGAGACTTTGCGCAAATGGAGCCAGCTCCATTTTCTGACAACCTGATTGGTGCCGATCACGCCATTAGCTAATCATATAATCAGAATTTAGAGCTGGCTCCACTTGCGCAAAGTCTCTATTAGGTCCAGCAATCGAGCAATGACAATTAAATATGCGATTCATCCCACCAAACGGGGCCTCTCGATATTCCGTGTGGGGGTGGAAATTAAGTTTTCTTGGGGGGGGCCGCATGCAGGATTAGAAACCCCACAATGTCACTTCTACGTCTAAGGCAGGTGTCCAGCTACCTTGCAGAGACAGCTCTTGGTTCGCGTACCAAGAGCTTTTACCTTATATTTCTTCTTTATGTGTGCTACCTCGGGTACTTGGCAGACACGATTCTCGTATATCGTGAGATTGGCGTCATGTACTATCACTCGCATGTATTAACCTTAAAAATTAATACCACGCAAAAACTCTTTTTGCAGAGCACTCAACACAAGCGGCCCGAGCCATCATAAGTAAATGTAGCTTTAAGGCATGATTACATCAGGAAGTCCACGGCTCGCACAAAGGGTTCCAAACTACTCTGCCGATGCTCTTAAGCTGCCAAAAAACATGGAGTTTTCCAAACCGGCTCGGGTTCTATGGCCAAGTCATGTTCTCGCTCCTGGTTTTGTTTTCCGGTATACCGAGCTGGGTTGGTATTCTTTTAGAACTGCGATCGCCTACGGCCGTAGCTCGAGTCATTCTGGACCCAGCAGCCAATTTTTACCCATCAGAAGAAACAATTAAAACCGCTACTCAGCAGTGATTTTCTGTACTCCGCCTCATGTAGTGCGCAGCGGACCAAGCAGCGGGCAGGACGCAGAAGTAAGTCTGCTCCTGGTAGTTGTAGTGTTGCTGCTGCAGGATCGCCGGCCGCAATTTTATAACTATTCCCCTTAGCCTGGCATCGCCGATCTACTAGAATCAAGCCACGGAATAGCTGCCACGCATCAAGAGATAGTCTTAGTGCCGCGCTTCGAAAGCGCTGGAACTCATGCCGGGCGCACCATTGCCGCTGCGAGTTGGATCCACTGACTTAGGTATTTTCCGAGTTGCTCTAACACTTGATGAGAAACAATCAAAATGCACACCTGATTATTGACTAATCAGAAGGCTGGACATGAAACAGAGAGAAACGACCGATTAACACATGGACCGGTTTATATCCAGCCCCGACGGTGGTGGGACCACCGAGCAGTCCGCATCGCGCAAATAGCAGAGACCTCACGAAGTGACTACACTAGCCTGAACGGGCCCAGAGCAACGAAGGCGTGGTATTTGATTCTAAGAACTGTTCCTTTGGGTCTTGTATAAAGAAAATTCTGCTCTCGAGGGGCCTTGGAGAGATACAGACCCACCTATTTTCGTTGTGTGGCATGAACGGAGAGCAGGAGGCCTGTGCTCGCACCAACTTCTTCACATACATCCGGCCGCTTCGTATACCTAGCGTGTGCCCTAGAAGGTCTTATGTGCGTAAATTCATAGAGAGTGAAGCCTTGATTATGAGCGGGAAGAGAAGCCATCTGGAGAGATGTCTTGGTATTGAAGTAGGCAGAAATGCGTTTATTTCTGATGGGACTAATATTGCTATGAGGGTGACCATGGAGATGCGGTGCGATAGGTAGTCTTTAGTGTGGGGTGATTGTGTGATAATTCGTTAATTGTATCTGTAGTGTGGGGTGTAGCGTAGGTGCATGACTCGATAGGATCTGACAAGGAGAGACACTTAAGATGTCTTCCAGTGCTCCCACAATCTCCCATCAGTATTATTGATAATTGGGAGACAAAAATGAGGTATCCTGGCCATAGGTCTACATTGGCAATGATACAAAAACATGCCAGCAATTTATAAAATAATATATGAATTTACGTTGTGGTGAGGAATCGAACCTCAGTCGTTGTCACCTGCTTCGCAGCGTTTACTCCACTCATCCAAGTGAGAACTTTGTACCACTACACTACCACAACTTGCACACCAAATCTAAAAGGTGGACTTTGTCGCAGAGCGGTCAGAGTGCTTAGACACTACACGTATGTTAGTAGGGAGCTCTTCAACTTCCCGGGTCGTACAAAAGCCTGTTCTAGGGGGCTTCTCCTTTTGGTTCAAGTGGCTTAAAGGTGTCTGGGGCTACTATATGACTGAGGTTAGAATATGGAACGATCTTTTTGGGTGCGGTCGTATTAACGGGCTCGATGAGCTTACAATTTGGCCGTAAAAAGCACTACTACCAGCCTTATCTGGCCTGCTAACCACAACCCCTAGTATACCCTTGAAAGAGAAGGTGATTGCTATATATATATGGATATGCATGTGTATTGGATCCAGATATAAAGCGTTGGAAGATGGGAGGGTACATACGTCGAGCAAGATGAAACTAGATAGAACCACCCCTAGGCCCTTCTCTAGACGAGATACCCGTAGGAAGTGATATTGAAGGTTTGAACTCTTTAGTTCATAGGTTATGCGGAGTTTTGCGAGGTTTATTTGACTCTTTATGACTACCCTAGACCTTAATATCTTCCCGGTCCTCGATTTTGACCCTCATGCCCTAGTACCAATTGTTTCGACGTATTTTTGAATTGTAATTTTATTCCATCCTTCCTACATGTATTTCTGGTGCTTTATCACTACATATCTACTAGTAACCACAGAAGATACAAGTACAGGTTTAATTACAGTGCTTGTCAGTATCTGAACGCCAGAGTGATATATCATGATTTAGCCTTCATCCGTTTATAAATATAAAAAGCCCAACTATGCAGGTCTAGGTAAATGTACTGTTTTAATCTGTCCAATCCATCACGAGAGTATAAAGAATTTGTAGTAGAAGTTTAGCTATGAGCTGTGGCTTGAGACTCGTATCGGCAAATTTGTTGGAAGAGACGGGGCCTTCAAGTTCCACCTCGCCATTACTTACTTATACCTTATTTCACATAAGCGCTTACACAAAAAAGAGTCTTACACTAAATTAATGCTAATATCACTTTTGTTTGTCAAAAGCACTTATTTAAGCCTTATTTGGCAGTAAACCGTTACTGAAGGCTTATTTTGCCCCAAGTCGGGCATCACTTAATGCACCTGTTTAGCATGGTTCTTGCGACTTGCACCATAAAACCGTGCTAGATTGCTTGTACCAGACAAAACTGGTCTCTTCCAACGGAATTTGGAGGCAGTATGTCCGCCAAGCCACTAGTAAATTTTTCATCGGTGCCCGCTCTGGCCGGGCGTGTTCGGTCATAGAACGACGAAAATAGGGCATCCCGTCCGCTCTGCCATACTCAAACGTCGTATCGCCTAGTTAGTACTGCAGTGGGTGACCATGCGGGAATCCTAGGTACCGAACTCAAAGATTCGACCTTTTGCACTTTTTTGTACATAAATTACAGTCGCTGGGTCTCTTCAAACTTTCCGAAGCTTATTAGAGTTTGATGTGAAGAAAACGTCTTCCGTATAGAGTTTCTGAGAACCTTGGGTGGAGTTCGTATCCTTACCTATTTCGAGGGGAATAATAAGCACGAGACTATACTTCCTTCTAGGGCTTTTGTAGCTCTAAAGTCAATGACTGTACAGTCGCACCTCACTATGCCGGATCTCAATATCCCGGATCCCTTGTTTTCCCGCACGAAATCCCCTCGTGTTTTAATTCTCTTACTGCAAGATCAATTTGCTATTCCCAATTTCTCGCCGATATTTGGCTCTTGGCATCCGGCATAGCGCGGTGCGACTGTATGCGCTTCGATTTATCTCACACATAGCTGAAATCGATGCAACATGTATAGCGGTAGGTACTTAATAAGTGATGGAACGAGTTGAGACAGAGTGATATATACCTATTTTAAGTAAAACGCCACCAACATACGGTTTTTGCAGGTATAACTATATCTCGGGGCGTTCCATCACTTATTACCTATCGCTATACAAGTAACACATTCGTCAATAACACAAAACGAAGTTTCCAAGGGTCAATGCCTAGTTTCCACCCCTGTATAAGCTGATTTGCGAGTGATAGGGTATGAGCCAGGAATATAACTTGGCGCCAAGAATAGCACTAGCTCAAGACGTCTAGTACTACCACTAGTTTAGCATTAGAAAGTTGGTAGTGAGAAAACTCTTCATAAGTGCTAATTCTTGGACATGAAGTATGGCAGGATGGCCGAGTTGGTTATGGCGCCAGGTTAAGGTCTTACTCTTAACATCAATTCCTGGTTCGGAAACGAGCGTGGGTTCAAGTCCCACTTCTGTCATAAATATTTTTCTTCTGTTCACTTCCGACTTTTTTTTTGGTTAAACAAGCCGGGAGAATGAGGTGTGGATTGTTTTTAGTGACGGCATGCTCATAGCAAACCCCCCCCCCCCCAACATACTGCATACTTGTGGAAACAATGGCAGTCAGGGTAGGAACATCTTCTAAGGATTTTCACATCAATATTTGCGCTTCTGGAACTAAGCTGCCCGTTTTCACAGTTTCTGTGTTAGGGATAGGGTAGATGTCTTCCAATGTACTGCTAAGTGATGTACAAGTATTTTGAACTCACGAACAAAGGTAGTCTCGTGCCCAGCCTGTGCAGACCACAGAACAAGGGTTCCTTTTGTCAGTCGAGACAGCTAGCGGCACTAGTGATGATATGCAACTACTTTATTGGCTAAGATTTGTACTGGAAAACGGAACTACATGTAGTGCAATATTCCCTTGAGGTATGCGATGTACCACTCAATTACATGAGTATCCAGTCCGGTGCTGTTACTGTGTGCATGTTGCAGAAGACACGAGACCTACATACTTCTATGTTGTATCCCCGCCACCGTCCGATTAGACCCCCTCTACCTTCCTTTCTGTCGATTGGTTCTTTTCCAGCCATCAGAATAACGGCAGCTCTGCACTAGTAACTCTACTCTCAACCCAAACGAGAGTCTTACCCCTCATCTTTAACGCCACGATGCAACAGAGATGCAAAACTTGATTCGTTTGTCAAGCATTCATATACTAATGTAGGTACATGTACGTACCAGCTATGGTGCGAGAGGCCTTGAGGGCGACCTTGTAATCCCTGTTCACACCAGTTCAGTATTTTAGCCCTTAATACAGCCATAAAGTCGAGTTAGAGGTGAGGCTCTTCAATGTTTGCTTCCCAGAGCCAATGAAAGAATTGACTGAAGTGGTGTATACAGGGTTGACAAGGTCGCCCTCTATTCCTTTTTGCACCATACAATGAAGGAAATGAGCACTTAGCAGGCTATCAGCATACACACTGATCACGTTTCTTCTTAGTACGACAGCCTCTCCGGGTCAAATGAATCGTCATAACTGACTCATATCCAGTACTCCTGACAGCATCCACCCTCTGATCTTACCTGTATCTATCCACATATTCGACATCTTAAAAGCAAGCAAGTCGACACAACGCACAGTGCACACCCCAGGTTTGATAGAACTCCCATTTTGCAAGTGACTAAGCACTCGTGATAAGTTCCCATGACCGATATCCAACATAGACAAGGATGCGATAGCTCTCCGCGGAGCTATTCTACATGCATGCAGGGACTCTTTATCGTCATGGCAGTGCCTTAGGAGCTACAGAAGCAGCAAAAAGCAAATCTATCCGTTAATGTGGGGAGGAGACGTTGGGTGGGAACTTTTTTCCTCCAGCCTCACCGAAAACGATAACGAATAAGGGAAAGGGTCGGCAACCAAGAGCAGGAGCATAAATAGAGGGGCGTATTTTGAAATCCCACTGCGCCAGAAAAAAGGGACTAGATTAGCCTAGCATCCTAGAAGCCCTTTCGCTTTTCCTATTGGACGCCTGCTCGCAGAATATTTCTGGTCACATGACACAACACTATGAAACACAGACGCTCACTCGCATCCTGTGTTACCATGAACTAACTTCCTGAAGATTGCGAGAACAGAAAATATATTTTCGTAGCGATTTCATGACATTCTAGCTACTACTACCAGCGTATATCTTTATGACAGTCTATTTGTATATGTGATCCCCCTAATCCGTTACCAACACCCCAAACCCAAAAGCAGATAAATCATCAAGCATCAACAGGCCTAGGTCAACTTCTCACTACAACTTCGCTTTTTCCTGACCAAACCACCCAGCTCTCATGGAATCTTTGCGCTCGAGATTGTTTCCGCTCCCTTTTCTTTCTTCCTCGAACTGGGTTTCCGGTTCCACGACTACCGCCAGGTCCCCCATTGCCACTAGAACTCTTCTTAGGATCTTTCCGCTCGGGTTTCTAGGCAATTCCTCTAGAAACACTACTCCACCACGAAGCCACTTTGGTCTATACTTCTTCTCTCTCACCATTCTAACAAGCTGTCTCCCAACCTCATAAACACTCGTCTCACCCCTCGCTCTTGCTTCCTCCTTGAGAACTATAAAAGCACGCGGCGCCTCTCCTGATACCGCATCAGGCACACCCACAACCGCACACTCTTCGACTGCCGAATGCTCCAGCAGGACTTCCTCAATCTCCGCTGGAGATACTGAGATGCCCTTAACTTTCACTAGATCCTTGATCCTACCCGTGATCGTCAGAGTACCCTCCTCGTCCATGCACCCTAGGTCCCCCGTCCGCAACCAGCCATCTTCCATAAATGTACTCTTGGTAGCATCCGGGGCGTTCAGATAACCCATAGTAACCTGGGGCCCCTTGCACCATATCTCGCCCTGTCGATGTGGTTCTAGATTCTCCCCACGCTCCCCTACAATTCGCACGGACGTGTTGCGCAGCAGCTTCCCGACTGTGTGTGCATTCTCGTAACCGTACCCGGTTATCGGGGTGACGGTAACACCACCACAGTTTTCAGTGAGGCCATAGCCATGTTTGATACCGGCCCAGGGGAAGCAACGTGAGAGCTCGCGGATGAGGTCGCGGGAGAGTGGAGCTGCACCGGTGTGCCACCGGCGGACGCAGGATAAGTCATAGGAGCGCACACTAGGGTCACGAGTAAGGCGGA